GATAAGAGAAAATTACTATGAAGAAGCAGTTTATAAAAACAAAACCTTGGTTCTCTAAGGTGCTGAGGTGCAGCTTTCCAGAGAAGTAGCAGTCTGTAGTCTGCACCTATAGCTCTTCAGATTATGGCCAAATATTTCATTTACTTATTTATCATGTGGAAAAGGCACATGAAGTTTCCAAAGTGTATGTATTTACCATATAAACCATGAAACATTCACTTTTCTTTCCTACTTACAAACTGCAAGGTTTACAAACAAAGGTATAGCAACAAGATCAAATAGACCAATGGCCCTGTAAACCAATTCCCAACTGTCAGACAGGCCAGAAATGGGGAAGCAGCTGAGTATGGTGCAGCTCTGTGCCTCACTTGGGTGTCCTCCCATATCACTGGTGAAATAAGGCATCCAGGCTGGGAAGTCCTGTCTCCAGCAGCTGCTGCCCACTCCAGAGGCACTATGGCTTCCTGTAGTTGCTTCTCAGAGAAGATTAAATTTCCAGGTAGAAATACTAGCCAAGACCTTACCTGCATGTTACTCTCCCACTGGGCTTTTCCCTCCAGCAGGGAGTCCAGAACAGCCCTGCTTGGCTCCTCAGCTGCAGAATCATTCCCGCTCACCACATAGTAGGATGATCGCACTCTCTTGAAAAACTCAACATCAACATTCTTGCTATTGCTGTGGTTGGGAATGTACACCAGATCCAAATACATTGGAGGTCCTGGAGGCACCACTGTAGATTTTGCTGACTTACTATTCCCAGGTTCTTTGGAAATCAAACAACAAAAGAACACACCACAGGCTAGTTAAAACATGCATTTGTTAATTACCGCTATAACTGCTGAGATTATATTCTTAAAATTGCTAGTGTTAGTTAAACATTATATAGCTACAATTGTACTTCTGTGTCCCCTGAAACACTTATGGTATTACCCTCCTACATCTAATAACATGTTCCAACTTTGTTGTATGCCAATTGCAATTGCACTGGGAGGGAAAAAAATGGAATAAAAGTAACTAAATATATAATACAATAAAAACTCGCTACCACATAACCAACATTTGACTGAACCTTTCCCAGTAATATGCTATTATCCAGCAATTACTATGCAGGAATGTGACTACTGAATTGCCATTCAATAAATGGCAGTATTATGTTCCAGGTTAGGAAGTACAGCTTTTTGAAAGTCTCAAGTATGCATGATTATAAAAGCTAGGATTACACAGGAAGCCATGCAGAAGTGGTCCTAAGATTTGGGGTATCAGCACGTACCAAGACATAGTAGCTGCTGATATGCTTGGACTCTTACAGGTGCATCAGGAAGATACTGCATGTGAACAGAAAGAAGGGCAAAGTGGAACTTCGGAGAAAAGAGAAACTTCCTAAAGCAATTATTGCAGGAAACTGAGAATAAGTGTTTGTTTGCCTGCTGGATCCTTATTTGCATTGCACTTATCACAAAATGTAGGGGGAAGCATGTTTTTGATGCTATACATAGTGTAGTATCTTCTAAGTAGAGGTCAAAAGGAAGTTCAAAGTTTAAAAACATAAAAAATGTTAAAAACAGTACCTGCTTTTGCTGAATACTGGATCACAGTGTGAACTGACAATCAGGATTCAACCAGTAATTTTATCTAGATGGCCACCATTTGTTTTATTGACCTCCTCATGATGTTACAGAGGATGAAGTTTGGTAAACTAAACTATCTGAACAATACACTCTATTTAGGATCATCTATTGTAAATACAGGAAAGTCAAACACAATTGTCTAGTGTGACCTCCCATTTGTCATAGGGCAATATGTCAAATAAACATCATAATATGATTAGATTTCCTGAATTAGAGTTTTTAACTATTGTGTATGTTACAAAATCTTTTATTATCTGTCATCTTAAAAAATCTGTGATACATCTTTCTGAATTGTGGATACCAACATTGGATAAAATATTAGACATTACATTTTATACTGAGATGTCATTATCAAATAAATCCCTGCCTTCAGCACTAGAATACACCTGTCAAGTATGTTTCAAGGAAGAAGAATCTAATATAAAAACTGAAGTGCTGGAGAAATCTACAGCATGAGTAATTGCACTGCTGCTTTGAAAAACATCTACTGAGAGAGACATGAAAATAATGGTGTAAGAAAAGAACAGTGGGCCACTTAAATGATGAAACTACAGATAACTGAATGCTGCTTTGCTTGTACTGCATCCTAGACTTGCTCCTTGTAAAAAACTTTCAATACAACATCAGTCCTGACAATAGAAACATCCAAGTATCCCCAAAACACTCTCTAACAAGATCTGCCAGAAACAAAATATTAGCATATCTCTTTTGGTAATCTAATTCATATTTTATTACTACTTAGAATACACAACAGTCATTCAAAGTGGCATTAGTTTTCTGTATGTTTAGTCATCCCTGATGGCATAAAACCTTAACCAGATTATGTGATATACATGCTTGGCTCACTGAAAGTGCTCTTACTACTGTTATAATTTTTTAAAAATACTATTTTTAAAATTAATCCAGCAAAGTAATAAAAGCATCCAATGTCTGATTGTACCTATGCCTCTCACAGTACTGAATTGCATTATTTTATGTTAAGAGCACTGCACCTACATGATTCTTACAATTAATAAAGTGATTTACTTTACTACTGATTTCACTTTGCCTAAAGAAGTGGTAATTTTAATTGTATTAGTTGGCTAACAATTCAGACAGTAAGTATTAAGTTCTTTATATTTGATGCACCCTCTCTAATACTTTACAACTGAACAAACTGACATATCAAGTTTATCAGATTGCAGAAGTTAATTCAGTGAATTTCATTCATTTAAATGTAGCCATAATGCATCAGATTTGTATTTAAAACATGGACTTTCTTTGGGGGTTTGCTGCAAACCACACTGTGAGCTGATATAAAGGCAACCTAACTTCACTGCAACAACAAAGAAAATCTTAACATTAGGGAACTCCTATATATCTTTACCTGTGATTGCAGTCTTTGCTGACTTGTATGTTGTTGTATTTGCTGCATTCTTGGTGTCCTTATCTTTCTCTTCCGCTCGAGATTTTACTTCCGGATTAGAGATACCTTTGGTTTCTTTCTCCACAGACTCCTTTTTTGGAGAAATTGTTTTAGAATTTTTGTCTAAAGATTCTTTTACAGATGGTTTGGGTGAAGCCACTTGTTTTGATTTACCATCACTTTTCTTAACAGGAGAAGATGACTTGGTCTTAGTACCCTGCTTTTTTGTCTTTTCTTTGAAGTCCTTCTTCAAAGGTTTACCCAAATTCTGATCCATGGGCAAAGTCTCTGGATCAACCATGGAGACATCAGGGTGCCTAGAGGAAGGGCTGTGATCCTGCATCAGGACAGGTGGTGGGTCAATTTGTTTGTACATAATTGTCTTGTCTGTCGGAATGGTTTCTGACTCATCTTCTGAATCAATGTTAGCATCTGCAGTGATGGAAGGGCATTCTTCAGTCTCAGGGGGAACATCTGAATCAGTCTGAGATGGGGCAGACTCACTCATGGATGTGGGAGGGGATTCGTCACACTGCCACCCTTGCTGCTTTCCTCCAGAAGGTGGCTGAGCTCCTCCAGATTGAGTTAATGGTTTCTTTTGATCTTGAGACTGTTCTTCACTTGCAAACCACTCAAGGGGAAATGAGGGTGAAAGTTCAGTTTTAGGATGTTTATATTCACAGGAAGACACAAGGCATAAGTCAACATCTTGACGTGATTCTGCTAAAGATTTTCCTGGAGTAAAATGTGCACTTGCTTCATAGGAATAGCTAGTAGCTTTGCATGACCTGGTGGTTTTCCCAGTTGTGTCAAATGAGTAATCTGTGGCTTCAAGTAAGCTTGTGGCTTTCCCTGTTGTCTCATAGGAGTAATCCATAGCATCGGGTGATCTGGTAGCTTTGTCAATTATCTCATAGGAATAATCCATGACTCCTGGTGACCTCATGGCTTTCCCTGTCATCTCATAAGAATAATCTGTGGCCTGAGGTGATCTAGATTTTGAAACTGCTTCGTAGGAGTAGCAAATATCCTCTGGTGGCGTAACAGTTTTCTCTGTGGCCTTGTAAGAATAATTGAGTTCTTCTGGTGACCTGCTGCTTTTCTCTGAAACTTCTGTTTCTGGGCTGACTAAAGGTTCTGGACTGTGCTTTGTTAGGGGTTCCTGGTAACCAAATATTTTGACAGATGACACTTGCAAACATAATGAAGATGTATGACTAGCTGACACAGCTTCTCTGATTGCAGGAGGTGAATCTGGAAAACTAGGAGGATACAGAGGAGAAGATTCCCTTGGAGTTAATGGATATAGGTCAGACTTTGGTGAAAGCTTTTCTCCTAGGCTCTGCATCTTTTCTAAGGTAAAAGAAGAATGTAGTGGAACAGCACCTGAAAAGGTTTCTTCTGGCAGTGGTGAAGTTAACTGGGAATGTGTATGAGCTGATGAAGTTGAGGATGAAGCTTCAATTTGGGAAACTGAAATAATTTCTGAAATATCCTTCTCCTGAGAGTAAGATGACTGCTCTACAGGGGAAATCTTCTGTGCAAAAATAGGTTCCTGTATATCTGAAGGGCTATAATCTACTTCTGTTGGTCCGTTTTCATATACATGGTGTACACTAGTGCCTACAGTAGGATAGTCTGGAGATTGTCTACTGAAGTCCATTGTTAAAGACTGATCAGGAGATTCCTGACCAAATTCTACTGACATAGTTGACTGCTCAGAAGATCTGTGACTGTACACAGGGGTTCTTGATTTTGTGGTTTTGGGTGAGAAATCTGGTGGAGAAATTGACATGGGCCTTGGGCACTCTTCCTTAGATGGAGACATGTCTGTTTCCTGAAACGTTGTTGGTGTTTGTACAACTGACACTGAAAGGGAATCATCAACTTCAGTAGAGTGAGGGGATCCAACCTCAGCATGCAAAGAAGGAGATACGTCATCAGTCATTGGTTCTGGAAATGAACTAGTAGCAACAGATGCTGTAGAGACAGACGCTACTCCTTCTATATGGGAATAGGTGTCTTCTGCTGCAACCTCATCAACTGGAGTTGCAGATGTGTTAGAAACAGTGCCTTCTGAAAATGACATTTTGGTGTCTTCTTTTAAGGAACCAAACTGACCAATATCTATTTGAGTAGGTGAGAGATCACCTGCTAACTTCTGCTCATCCAAGACCAGTGAAGACTGGGAGCTGCTGGGTTCTGTATCCTCCATTTTCCTTTCTAGGCTGAAACTGTCCTTAATTACTATAAACTCCATGCTTTTTTCATCTTGTGTTTCTCGGTAAAGGCCCACAGAGCTGGCTTCAGAAGCTGGGCTCATCTGAACAAGTGATTTTTCTTTTTCAAGTTTCCCCTCAGAATGGCTTCTATAATGTCTGGTGGGAAACTTTACATCAGCACTCAAAAATGTATCATAAGTGGTCTCTGAACCTATCAGTGGTGAAATCTGTAGAGGCAAGAGAAGCTTTTCAATAGGAGATTCTGAATCTGGCATAGGCTCATCCATAGGGCTTATTCTGAGTCTTGCAGACTCATCTTTGTCTTCACTGAGTTCAAAGATAACAGGAACTTCTGTTGGCTTTTCACTGGTTTCAGAGGGAAGCTGACTGGATTTTTCATCAGTGGGAGATTGATAATAAGGTGTGTGGCCAGCACTACCAGCAGCAGACTGTGAGGGGGATACTACTTCTAACGTTTTATCTTCAGGGCTTGCACAGTGC